CCCCCAATCGTCGCCAATCGCGATTTCCGTCCGTCGCTGCAATCGCCCCAATTATAATAAGAATTTACGAGCGAGATCAAAACGCGCGCGCGGGCTATCGATAAAGTGCCATCGGCGAGACTCTTTTTCTCTTCTTGGAAAACATCCGATAGATTTACGAGCGTAATTACGCGCCTTCTTCCCGCGCGGCTATCCGTCCCGCGTAAATGCACTGTCCATTCTTCTCCCGTCTTTACTCGCTTCTTTTTTCCTTTTTTCCTTTCTGCTTTTCGCACACGTTAGCACCTACATGACGGTGCACCACCAACCAACTTTACGATCGCGCCTCTGATCAATTGACATCATCTAGTATTTCGGACGTAACTTCTAGAGTTTCAGCGGAGCTTCGCGTTACGAACGAAATACGATCCAGATGTGCATTAGCGAAGAATCGAAAAATCTTGGAGAGATAAATCGTGAAACGCTAATATTAACACTAACCCGAATATCGGATAATAATTCGCAAATAGACTTGTGTACTGCTTGTAAATTACTAATAATATTTATCATTATTTCAAGATTTGTAATATTTCTGTGACAAACTCGTACACAGGTCGTCCCAAGTAATTTTTGCTCCAAAAATACAAGATTAAAATTAAATTGATTAACTGATCTAATTGCAATCTATATAAAATTATACGTTACTGCAGAAAGTAATATCTCAGCGCTTCTACGTAACACTGCTTTGGAATTCCTGCTAATAACTTTAACCTATAACCCCCCTAATACTTCGACTTTGTATACTGAAATTCCACAGCGGTTTGCCACTCAAGGCTCTAACATTCCAACGGAAAATTCAACCAGATTCATAAGTTTGTAAGTTTCCGTTTAATAATCAATACGTAAAACTTTACAAAAGTTTCGACAAAAATTAAAATTTTCGAAAATCGTCGCGTTAAATACATCTATCTCTCAGTTTTAATTATTAACGAATTAATCGCTAATCCCCCAACAAATTGGCAATCACGTATATACGTACCGTCGTAAATTGTCATAGCAGTGTAGCTGGATACAACCGGGTGGTTCTTACAAATCCCACGATATATTCGTTTAATCGCGAACGTACACGCCGACATAAAACGCGCTCGACAACTGTTATCTATATGTAAACGATTTTACGTGCTAGAATTAATTATACGAGTGGTTGAGTCGCAACTAATTCATGCCTCACAATAATCCATGATTTATAACGTGGAATTTGTTCTATGAACCGAAAAGAGCGTAAACATCCAACTCTGCCCGGATACCACGAGACGAGATATCGATTTTAACATCATTAGGTCTGATTATATTAATTATTGCAGGACTGCGTGTGCATATTGCCTTAGGCAATGCGAAAGAGGAGACTAAACGCGAGCGATATGCAACATCTCCCGAACAGCAATTCCCTCAATTTGCTCTCTAATATCTTAATTATACGCATATGAAGTTGCCTCCAGCCAGAGTAAGTAACGATGCGATTTAATTCAGCTAATCTAAAAATTCCGCATTAAATTTGGATAAGAATTTTTATTCTACATTTCCTTATTTTTATTATTTTTTTATCATTTCGATCCGATTAAAAAGAAAAAAAGGTTGAACAGATAACTTAATTTTCTCTTTAAAATAGTTTTTAATAAAAAAGTTAGTGTAATATATATTGTATACTTCATTTCAGAATTTATGGAGATTGTTTTATCAATCAAATTGCACTCGGAAAATTTCTGTTTTTGAGCTTAGAATTATTTTTGATTATTTTTACGAAACCTCCTTTGGAAGTTTTCTCTCTTTTAATATAAAAAAAAATTATAGCGTGCTATTTAACAGTTGGCTTAACAAAACAAAAATTAATCTTGTAGAACTTATTTTTTGCATATTATAATATGATATAAAATGTATGCAAACAAATATTTTACGCCGATTGTGATTTAAATATATATGACGGATATTTGCAGACAAGCATGTAAAGAATTATTACCATTAAAAAAGCATTTGAAAATCAATTAAAATTTTTAAAGTGGATCTCTTTCTTGGCGTACTTTCCTCTTTTGAATATATTTGATTTCAAATAATAACTGGAGAAAGGAATACATACACACTCCAAGCTAAAACTAAAAATTCGCAGTTTATATACGTCACGAGTCGAACACTCGCGTGTCTGCAACGCCAAAATTGAATTTCACTACAACAGAACTATTTTTGAATTTTCTAGAGATATGAAAAAAAAAAAAAAAACATGACTCACCCAAACGTTCGGAGCCCGCTGCCCGATGAGCCCGAAGAAGCAGCAACGACACCGCCAGCACGATCATGATTATTCGCCGCTTCCTTGCACTGATTGAAATCATCGTCACACTAATCAGTCAACTTTTACAACGACGTCACACAACCGTGTATACTGCTGCTAGCGCACCGACATGCCGCACCACTCGCACTTTGATCATTGATTCCGCGCGAGATCAAGATACCGCCATTCAACGGGTCACCCGCCGCAAAGTCGTCGAACTCGGATCGATCATTTCGGCTGGTCTACTTGGATCAAGCTTGAAGGCACCGGCACGTTCCACGATACGCCATATTGCCGAGTGTCCAGCGACGCGTTTCAGTCGATTTACATTCGCGCGAATTTCACACCGATCTCTCTTCTCGGATTCCCGCCAATTCGTCAAGCCGCGTGACGTAATAACGTCTCACTCGGATCGGTCACGATGCAGGCCGCAGTCCGCGCGTACGGATAATCATCCATAATCATCGCCGAAATAGTTAGAATCACAGAATCGCACGATCGCAATCTAACTGTTCCGTTTTCGAACCGGCGTCAAGCGATATGCGCTCGCATTCACACTTCGGATCACCAAGTACCGAGGCGCGAACCTCGCACTGCCGTCTCGTTCGCGTCGCAAGATCGTCCGAGTTCACGACACTCCCGAAAAGAACGGAATTCGGTTTATTAGAATGTTAGATCGACAATTGCGATCAACTGCGCGAGAGGACACAGAAAAACGTACACATCACTCGGTGGTCGGCGCGCGACTGAGCCGGGTGGTGGGGGACTTCTGAAAGTCGCGTCAAGTGGGGATGACGTTACGGCCGATTGACGCATGCGCGCTCCACGCACACGCTCGCCGCTCTGGCTCGCTGGCTTCTCTATGCCCCTCCATTCAGGACTTCAGGATACATCATCTTCGTTATATTTTCGACACGTCCGAGAAATGAGCTCGTCTTCGTGCGCGACATCACATGTTCTGCCAAAAATATATAAAACTAATAAATATAGGCGTATGTGATTACATACGAATAAGAGAAAAGAAATTATAGAAAATTATAGTTGAGTTTTTCACGATCTAAAGTACATAATATATGCATGATTCACACATAAATAATGTATATCTGAAAATAATGTATATCTAGTTTGAATTAATCAACATTATTCATTATTTAACATTCGCTTAAAATAGATCGAAACTCGTGCATGCCGAATCGCGATCGATTCGATGATATAATGGCATCAAAATTATCGACGAGATAAATGAATAATCAATCGTACAACTATGAATTTATGCATCACATTCGCATAATTTATGAGAGAGAAAACAATTCATTAGAATAAACTCTAGCATTGTAATTGTATCAAAGCTTATTTAAAAGCACGAGTGTTTCATATTTACGTAAATATATTTATTGTTCCTCATTATCATCAATCAATTGAGCATCTATTGATTTTTCAATAATTTCGCGTGATTTAAAAATATACATATATAATCGTTAATTAAACAATATTTATCAAGAATAAAAGATAATATTAGAGGTTACGCAAATATTAGAATGGGATTGGAGATAATGTAGGATATGTGAAATGATTAATATATTCACACATACAGATAAACCTCGTACTTTCTATACAGCTATAAAACATTTCATATAACCTTGACCTTGATTACGATGCGAGAGATATTCGCTGTTCTTTGTTTAGCAGTTACCTTGTAGTCTCATGGAATGTGAGATTATTTTTCGAAGTGTTTTATTCTCTCTCTCGTTGGGAGCGAATCCGGTTCACGAATAAATACACGACATACGACAGTGTCGAATTGGATCGACATTTGCATTAATTTTGGTACGTGATAGTGAGTAAGAAGAGTGCTTTTCGCGTTATTTACTCGTATTAAATATATATACCATGCATACGGTAATCATCGGGAGTACCGTACCATGTGACAAGTGATTATCGTGTCATGTTAATTAGAACGCGAATGATTAGCCGCTTGTTCGATCGATTTGTATCTACGCAAGTGAATATACGGAGCAATCAATAAGCAGGCAAAAACAGCAGTACATCTTTTACTTGGTAAGTAAGCTGATTTATTACATTAGATTAATTCTCTCTCTCTCTCTCTCTCTCTTTCTCTTTCTCTTTCTCTCTAGTTTATTTGATTACATATTTAAATGTTACATTATAATAATTGTACTTTGATATCCAACATTGGGCAAAGATATATAGATCCCAATATATTTATTAATAATGCATATAAAGAAACAGAAAAAAAAAGAAAAAATATATAAATATAATAATAAAATATATAGATAACAAACGCAATATAAATGCAATTAAATTTTTTTTACATTGAATATTAATATATCAACTTTAATTATAATATTATATATTTTTTACAATTATAATAAAAAATATAATGTAGCATGTTCATATTAACAAATACTTTTTAACAACGTGCCATAAAATCACTGGATAGTATTTTAATCACCAAATTTTTTAATTAGTGTGAATTTTGTTTGACGAGAAGGTTGTTATTATTTGTCAAAGTATTTTAATTTTTTACATCAGATGTCTATGTAAATAAAAAATTTGTTAAAAAACACAAAATTCATTTAAAGTTAACTAATAGAATTATTTAGTTATCTCTATATCTGCAACTCTGAAATTTAATTCACTTCGGAAAGTGCTTGCTTGCTTTCCCATCGTTTGTAATTCAAAAATCATTGCCTTATATTTTCTCGTTGAAAGGAAATAACCTTAGAAATTATTCGAAGTATTAAAATAAAATATACCTTTCTTATGTTTTAATAATTTAATAAATATGTATTTTAAAAATTGATAACGCCGGAGTAGAGAAAAGAAAAAAGAATTTTGGCTATATAACTGTTGACACTGCAGTCGAGGCGAAAATATGTGATAAACTTTTCGAAACCATGTTTTAAAAATTATGTTTTGGAAAATTCTAAAACTAATCTACTTATCTATCTATTAATCTATTTTAATAGATACGCATAACTTTGTATTTCAAGATGTGGTTCATACGCCGCATTTCGAATCTATAACAGGACACATATAAAGAAAATCATTAAGCACATAGCGATTTGACACGATTATGGTTAATAAATACAACGCTACTTATTTTACGCTAAATTGTACATTCTAAATTTTATCAGTATGTAACTTTCTCTTGCAATATATAAAACTGTACACAGAATCATAATCAAGTTTTATTATTCTTTTTTCCGGACGATGAAAACTGGTAAACAATTATTCTGCAGAAAAATAAGCAAATTAATTTTTTCTATTATAACCTTAGCTTTTTTCTTTATTTTATTCAACAAGCTTTTCCATTGCAATTTTTAATTTCAATGTGTATAATTTTCTTCGTCATCTTCTGCATTATGTTCGCGCATACGTCGCAACACATGAAATGAATAACAAAATGGATATTATCTGTATTCAAAATTAAAATATATTACAAAAACACTGATATATATTTATATATAAAATATATAGCAATATATATTAAAAGCTTTACTTTTATATTATTCCTCATACAGAAAAGATAATAAAATCATCCGTAGGCCAATATTTTCACTGCATTTCATATAACCTCAAATGCACAAATAATATCCCTTTTATTATTTATCTTATGTAAGTGAAATCTTATGTAGCAGAAAATGATAAAAAATTTAAGCAATTGCTTGTTCTATGAAGCATTTCTTGTGATTTTCCATCAATCAGTTACATGTTGAATAAAATACGGAGATTAGGATCCACTTTAAAACCAATCGAATAAATATTTCAATTTCTGCCTTTTATAAATTGTACTACTATGCTACGTATTAACTATACACACGACAAAAATGTAAGAACAGGCTTTTTTCTGGATGCATCACGGCGTAGTCGAGAGATAACAAACAGCTAAACAGCTTTAGTACATTGAGTATAAGAAGGCCATGTGCATCGGAGCACAACGTAAAAGAACGATCTAAGAATACACGAAGAGAGACGTCTGGTCGATACGCGTATGAGTTTAATTTCATTCACTCGGTTGCCCAAAAACACGGCATTGAGAGAAGAAATGTTGCGAACAAACTCTCGAGTTTAGAGACGTGTGAAAGGCGAGAACGCGACTTAAGTGTTGAAGTTCTACATCAATTCTTAAATCTTAGTTGCAGTTGACTTGTCTACAAATGACTAGGTAATTGCGTAAATTATTTTACTCGACTTCTTGTTTCTTGTTATTACAAACTTTGTACAGTCAGCATGTATTAGTCGAAATATCAGCGGATATCGCGGATTAAATAACCGTATTTTGCAAAATAATTCTTGTAAAGCAGATAAGATATATTTAAATTATTGATTAATTCTCTATTATTAAAAAATATTCATTCAATGGAGAAATCATGTTAAATCTTTTTTATTACCGCGAAAAATGAAATATTCTTTTCGATTGCCAAAAAGTTTTGTTGTTAGTAACCAATATTACCATGTTGTAATATTATAACAGTATAATTCCAGTAAATATAGATAAGAAATTCTTAGTATCGAAAATTCTGAGATAGAAAGTCAAGAGTTAAGTAAGCGATTTTGAGAAAATTGTTTGGCAATGTTCGAAGAATGCAGACGTAATAAAGTATAAGGATGAAGCAGATCATATATTCTACGTTGTAGGACAATGTAGAATGAACCTCTCGAACGTGAAAGATGCGTTTAACGTTCCAACATCTTCAGGAAACTTTATCGAACATACTTGGAGTTTTACTTTTTTAACACTTTATACTTAGCATAATCTATAAAATCTTTTCCGCTTCACTTATTACGTCTTTTTTTATTTAATATATCGATATAGCAGAATAAAATGCTAATAAATGTATATCAATATATATTATTTCATATTCTATATATAAATACATTAATCACTATATTTAAATTATATAATTTTTCTTTTTTTTAAAAATAAAACTTAAAATTATTAATATTTATCATTCTCCAAAATGAAAAATATTTCACCATATTTTTTGAGAATTGAACGTTGCTACAAAATTGTACAGATTTAGAATATATGAAATTTAGAAAGCACACAATAAAATGAAACGGATGTATATTTCGAACAAAATAAGACAAAATAAACGACGAAAATAATATTATTAATTCGTAAAACTTAAAGATGTCTTTTATGTTATTATGCCAATTTCGCTAAAGACATTACCATAACAACCTCATAAAGCGCACATTCTGAACGTTTGCAGTACTTTTTACATTATTTTACCGACCTCGGTTTGACATCCCGGCTTATTACTTTTCCATCCTTTTACGAGTAGAATGTTGCATTTATAGAGACCATTTATAATAGAATTAAAAAGTAAATCACGAATAAAACTGGTATAATCTTTATTATTTTATAATTTAAAACTATATAATAACCATTTAATAATTTTCATTTGCATTAAAGATTACGTAATTTATAACAGATGATCAATTTTGTATTTACTAACGATCGTACGATATTAAAGAAAGATTTTTGCAAAAATACGATATAATCAAGCATCGTGAGAGTAAACATCATTCTCTACCAACCTCTCGGTTTCTTAGTTGATTTACAGCTTTAAAACAAAAAGTGCAAAACATAATTTTCTCTCACACTTGCTTCTTGTTCCTTAAATAACGGTATTGCAAGAGTTTGGAAAAATTTATCGAAGCTTCGAAGAATATTGTGAGTTGGATAACGATGCAACCTCGGCGCGCATATCAAAGTTCCTTCTTCTAAACGAGCTTGAGAAACAAGGTAAGCTCGTAAAATGCACTCCGCGCACTC